TTTATGTATTACTAATAACAATATTTATAATTTTTATATATTATGTGCTTTTTATAAGCGTAAAACACAAAATACTTACTATAACTGGTGTTTGGTCTCAAACTCGGACAAACTATACAAAATAATCAGATTTTATTTTTAATTGGATTAACGATTAATGTTTTAAATTAATTAAACGTAATCGCAGCCAGCGATTAACGATTAAAAAAATGTTATCATTAATCGTACAGTTGATTACGACTAATTAATTTTAATCGTCAAACGCGATTAACATTTTAATCGTTAATTTTTAATCGTTAATCAGATTAACAGTTTGCCAACACTGTGTGAAATCATGTTCATATTCACGGAGAAAAATGGACGTTTTTGGAAAAGAGGCGTAGCACCTCCCATACTGACTGAAAGTTTCATATTGCATATCTCTTCAAATGTTTGGGGTAAAGCACTCAAGCTTGGTATGGAAATACATATGTATGTATGTATGTATGTGAAACTAATACCATACTCATGGAGAAAAATGAGAGTTATTGGAAAAGGTGGTGTGGCAACTCCCATGCAAATTGATTTTTCTATGCTGCATATCTCTGGAGGTGTTTATTGCAGAGGACTGGAACTTGGCACCGAGATGTGTATACAAAATTAATTCCATACTCATAGAGAAGAATTTGTGTTATTCGAAAAGGGGACATGGTTCCTGCCGTACAAATTTACTGTTTTATACTGCTTATCTCTAGAGGTGTTCATGGTAGAGTACTGGGACTTGGTACTGGGGTATGTAAAATCAATTCTAAATTCATGGAAGAAGATTAGGGTTATAAGAAAAATGGGCGTGGCACTTCCTGTACAAATTGACTTTTTCTTGCCACATATCCCTGGAAGTGTTTGTGGAAGACAGAATAAATTTCATTAAATGGAAAAGGGAGAGAGAGAGGGAGGTTCGGCCTTATAATCTTAAGCTCTCTTGAGGCATTTGCTACAGTAATGAGAAGTGGTATTTTATCAAGGCCAGGTTACTAAATTTGAGTTGGAAATATTAGAACCCGCCGTGGCACCTCCAAGAAGGTTACACGTTCACGCGTCGTATACCTGGAACCATTTTAAGGTAAACTTAGAGGGATTGATATCTTTCGTATGCCTAGCGCGCAGACGATATTTTATAATTTCATAGTTTTAAACGGGCTAAATACCTTAACTCGCTTAAAAAATAACAAGCTATAACGAAATGGGCACAGAAATAAAATCTAACATGATTAAATTATTTTTCATATATGTATAAAAGCGCGGGGTGAAACCCGCGGGTATAAGCTAGTATAAACATATGTATACTTAAGTACATTCACGTAAAGGCCAGTATGTAGCTCTCAAGAAAAGAAAAAACTACATATAAAATGAGGTACCAGAAATGGCTAAGAGATTTTCTTGAGGCAGTACGCAGTTCTTCAGAAATTTGGTACGCTTTCTACTACGGGTTTCTAAAGTTTTTTGTGTTTTTTTATGCTTGCAACAGAAATATACATATGCCTGTTCCATTATTTCTTGAGGAAAGAGTGAGGCAACAGGTTGGTGAAGTACCAGATGTCAAAATTCCTTGGACACAAACACGAAATAATGGCAATTTTTTTCTTGACCGTTTTCTTGAGAGCTTCTTATTGGCCTTAAAGTGTAAATAGGAAACCTTTTTCTAGGAAGCATGCAGGGAGCACTTCTTTCAGTACTTATTGGGTAAGTCGTTTAGAATGGCTGTCTGTCAGACAGCCTGCCTAAATTATCTTTAGGTTATGCATATACAAAATAGCAAAAATTATCATGAAGCGCATTGTAGGATATATGGAAATTTGCTAATGGTGGAAAGGCAAGCATTCAAGACCACGTTAAAAGCGCCAAACATTTTACAAAGTTACATCACCATCAAGGGAAATTTGTTCTTTTATGATTAAAAAAATAGAACTTGAGCGTTTCATCATCATCAATCATTCAGCTCTACGGATTGTGCCACAAAACTGCATTGCATATAATATCAGAAAATACTTCAGAAATGATGCAACGCCAGAAACAAAGAAACTGTATTTATAGGCATTAAGTGTACTGGTCGATGGGTTCAGGATTATGGCAGCCCTAGCTTAGTACTATTTTCCACCGGCTTTAACACCACGTTCAATTACAAAAGTAATAAATTAGCTGTTACATGGCAACATGCAACTCTTTGTTTCGGTTTCACTCAGAAAAAAGTCAGCTAAATATATTTCTCTCAATACACGATTTAGTAACTACAAGAAAAAGGCAGCAACAACAAAAATTGCCATTAAGCAGAAAAATAAAAATAGAAATTTGGCACTTTCGAGGTTAGGTTCGAATAGTTCCTTCTTTACAAGTGTTTGACTATGTGCGGGAAAGGCGTAAAAAAATAGCAACAATTCAAACTCCTCGGTATATAATGGGCTTTAACTAAACCCTGAGTATATAAATATGTATGTGATCGCTTTGACACTGGAACTCCACCGTGGAAGTTTTTCGAGAGTGCAGCGACTTGTGCGTGTGAAATTCCAACGTGGGATCTCCCCGCGTAGAGTTGCAGTGCTCTCACTAAATAAATATATGTTATATATGTACGTATGTATGCGCCCTTCTGTTCGTTCTCTCTCTCTTATTTTCTCTGAAGTCTCCAATCGTGCTCAGTCCTCCTCAATATGTGGATTCTTTATGTATAAAAGGCATAGTTGCCAACTTGGTGCTTTAAGCACTAGATTTAGTGCTTTTTGAAAATTAAAACGCCAAAAAAATTATTTAGTGCCTAGTGCCTTTTTAGTGCTTTTTTTCTGAGCTAAAATTACTTCGAGATACATAGTTAAAACCTGAAATAATTTGAAATATTTAAGGCTGTGGCAGCACTGAATTTACAAGAATCTACAAATTTAAATGGACTAAAATACAACTATGATTGATAAAAAGCTGAAGTTGCAAACCCACCTTGTTAAATTCTATTCGCGTTGAAAATGCTGGTACGTAAGTAAGTTAAGTATTTCTTTTCAAATTATTTGTACAAATTTTGCTTTTTTTTACCACCTGAGTAAAACACA